TATATATATTCAATTGTGTTGGATAATTCTGTTAATCAACCTCAGTCCTGATCAAATCTAATAAATTGTTTAGAAAAGTACCAAATTTAACTCTTCAATTGCCAAATTAATAAAGGATGTCACTGATTTTGGTGAAAAAAACACAAAATAAACAGTAGTTGTGGACTGGATTTTTTACCTTTTATCGCAGTCTTGACATGTGAAACAGCCTCAGCTTTGATGCATTGTTTTTGATTAATTCTCTCTAATTTACTGTTGGTGCTGGTTTTGCTCCATTGACTTCCAGTATAACCAGATATGTTTGATTATAAAGCCATCATATAATCATGTAATCATGCAGCATTGATTGTTGCTGGTTTACCCTGTTGGGAAGAGGTAAAAGATGTGTAATTTCCACTGTTGATCATCAGTTGGCAGTTTTAACCCTTTAGATAGGCCTGTGCAAAAAAGCTTATAGGTTCTGGATCTTATATGGAGTATAACAGCGAGTGTGTGAGAGTGTGAGAGTGACCTTTGCACACTTGCCTTGATGTCTCTGAGAAAATCATCATGAGCATCTCAGCTCTCAGAACTACACAGAGTAAACGAAAACAAAGACTGTGTGTTTATGCACCATCTAATGTGCTTATAATGGAGGTCAATGGGGCAAAAACAGCCACCAACAGTAAATTAGGGAGAAAAGATGAATATCTCACAGTGCATCAAGGCCAGTGTTGTTACTAATCATTCACATGTCCAAGACTGTGATAAAAGGTAAAATAATCCAGTCCACAACTGCTGTTTATATTAAAAATACGTCATATTGTGTGTGTATTTCTCCAAAACAGTGACATCATCTGTAAACTTGGCAATTAAAGAGTTAAAATCCTGTAATTTTTAAAAACATTTAGTAGTTTTGATCAGGGCTGAGGTTGATTAACAGATTTCTGCAAAAAAATATGTTTAAGATTATTAATCTGATGCATTTTAACTCTGTTTTCATCCTGAACATAACAAAAGGGGAGTCAGTGCACAGTGCACAAGGGTTAATAAAACTAAAAGGTAAAAAAGTTGCTAAATATTGCACTGTGTGTATGTTTAGCTCATGTACACATATTTTAATGGAGCCATGCATGATCACCGGACATTAACCTGCCGACTGGACATTTCTGTATAGTAAACTTGTTCCTGCTGTTAGCCAAAGTGCTGTTATAAAATACCGCCGTCCAACTCGTTCACTGACAACACAGTTCTACTGTCAGTGAAATGTGTTCTTGATGTTATTGTCATTAAGTTATTGAGTTCAGTTATAAACTTCTTACAGAATGACTTTAATAAATGCTAAATCATGATTGGAAAGCAGTTTGGGTGCATCCATCATTTCTGTGTTTTATCAATTGTAATTGCTGTGATGGTGTTTCTGCAGGCGTCTGGAGCTGCCGGTGATCCCGAGAGTCGTTCGGGACAGAAAACAGAGGTTTCGCCGCTGCTGGGAGTGTCTGCGGAGAGATCTGTGCGTGAACCGACCCCTCAGCAGCAGACGGATGCGGACGGTGTTCCTGCGGCTCTGACCAGCACACTGCAGCACATCATCGGCCAGCTGGACGTGCTCACACAGGTACAGCCAGGACCATCGCTGTAGATACACACATGCTATAGGAACAGTGTGTCCTAACTACACACGGCGCGGCACACAATTACAGCTCTTTCCCATGTCAAAAGGAGTTTTTCTACTAACAATCCACGGTTTCTATTTGCACAGCAGAACAACAGCATAAACCACTGACAATGATCACCTCAGGTGCTGATTATGTGCTGTATTCAGTGTTAAAGGCTTCTTTGAATACAGATTTACGTGACATTTATAGGCATTCTGAAAGCAGCAGCAGATCGTTCACCTCAGATCTTAAATAAAATAACTAGCAGACGCTTTAAAAATAAAGTCAGAACTGAGACCAACAACATCAGTCACTCAACTCTGACCCATACTGTGTTTTTGTTTTCGCTCTTGCCGAAAATCCACCATGCAACATAAGACAGAGTCACATATGTGCAAAATGAACACATTGAGTATACATGTAGTGATCATTTCCTAAGATCTAGTTCATGTTTGACATTATTACAGATTCTTCAATGCAGTTAAACAACTATGAATAATTATGAGGCTCGAGTCCAGCAGATGCAGATGTGCTGTGTTCTGAGCGTGGTGTTAAAGTCGAACAGATGAAGATCCGATCAGGTTATAGCGCAGCACATCTGCGAGCGCCCATTAGAGGAAATCCAGGATTCAGATGCTGGAAACCCAATGAATAATTCACATCCGAACCCGAGACTGAGACTGAGACTGAGGGGAATGTGCAGATACAGGGCGGTGAATTGTCTCTTTAGTCCATTTATGATTTGAGTTTTTAAGAGAAGCTGAAACTGGCAGTCGCTGTTTTCTCTCTATAGACCAGAAGTGGAAACCATTTCCCAATCAACATTTAATGCCAGATGAGTGGATTAAAATACAGCAAAATAGCACCTGTTATAATAACATTACTTCATTAGCACATAGTTTTATTCACCAACAGGAGGTGTTGTGTTTGTCCCTGTAGAAAAAACTGCTTGCACAATCCAGAGTAAATACAGGAATCCCCTTGCTCATCAGCTCCTCCCCTCATTAACATCTTCCATCACCTTCCCCTTTACCAGAAGCTCCTCCTCTTTATCACCAGTCCCTCCCCTTTCTTTGGTAGCTCCCCCCCTTGCAGAAACACTGTGATTGACATTCTCCTGCTGTACGTGTCATTAGAGGGGGAAAGCCCCGCCCACTAGTGTCCATCTCATTAGCATGTCCAGCAGGCCTGAGTGGGAAGCAGCCGTCTGTCCATTAGCCATTAGAGTGTTTGAGCTGCTGAAGATAATGTCAGCATAGACTAAGAGGATTATAGATGTGGAGTTCTAGATGAACAGGAGCAACATAGACTGACAGAAGCATGAACACACACTCACACTGAAGCACACACACACCTGACCAGCACTCACAACACACACACTACTGTTTACATCTGACACTATGCTTATGCATTTGTAGCTCCGCCCTCTTCTGAAAATCTCATTTGCATTTAAAGCGACAGTCACCAAAACGCCACAGTTATGATCAAAGCCTGAAGGGGTCAGTTCAGAGAGCTGGAGAACATTACCTGTGTGTCCTCACTCAGCTGCACACTCTTATTTTACATCTTGAAAAACTGACGTAACACATCTCCTTTAAAACATAAGGCTCATAGTGAGTCCCCAAAACACTCTCTTTTATGAACTCGAGTGTCCTCATGGAGTCCTCCGCTGATGCTGCTTCTCTTCAGAGCACATCTGTATGATGATGGTGACTGGTCTGCCTGAGGTGTCTCCAGTGACCTTCAGCGCTCGGTGTTCTGCTGTCCTGTGTTTTCCGCCGGGCTGCAATCGATCTGAAAAGCACACTTGCAGAGGAAGGAAATGTGAAACCGTGATGGATCTGCGCCCGCGGGTCTCTGAGGGAGGATCAGGAGCATGTTTACTGAACATCAGCCCGTCTCGCCCACGTTCTCCAGCGCTCCTTCAGCGGAGCGAGCCTGTCCTGCTAGCAGAAACACGGAGCAGAAATAACTCCACAGCCGTAATTAGCATTCTGGGGATCTGAATCAGACTATATAAAACAGGCCAAAGCTTCAATCTGGGCATTCTTAGAAACGCTGCCGAGACCACATTAGGATCCAGCGCTTCACATGTACTCAAAACAATGTCTCTATCAGGGCTCGGGCTTCTGTTCTGGTCAATTGTCTTAAAGTGATCGTCTGGCGGTTTCACAGTGGTCCAGTGGGTAGCATGATCGCCTCACAGTAAGAAAGTCGCTGGTTTGAGTCTCGGCTGGGTCAGTTGGTGTTTCTGTGTGGAGTTTGCATGTTCTCCTCGTGTTGGCGTGGGTTTCCTCCGGGTGCTCCGGTTTCCCCCGCAGTCCAAACACATGCGCTATAGGGGAACTGATGACCAAACTGGCTGTAGTGTATGAGTGTGTGTATGTGTATGAGTGTGTATGAGTGTTTCCCAGTACTGGGTTGCAGCTGGAAGGGTATCCGCTGTGTAAATCATATGCTGGAATAGTCAATGGTTCATTCCACTGTGGTTACCCTTGATGAATAAAGGGACTAAGCCCAGAATGAATGAATGAAATCACTGCTGTGGGGATTTTTACTGTTCTTTTATTTAAGGCAGGGGTGTCCAAACTCAGTCCTGGAGGGCCGGTGTCCTGTAGAGTTTAGCTCCAACCCTAATCAAACACACCTGAACAGCTGATCAAGCTCTTACTAGGTGTTCTGGAAACTTCCAGGCAGGTGTGTTGAAGGAAGTTTGAGCTGAACTCAGCCGGACACCGGCCCTCTAGGACTGAGTTTGGACACCCCTGATTAAAGGAGTGATGGTGGAGAAACAGCTTGTCTGACCAGTTGCTTCACATAACGCTTCAGCACTGGAGACCACACATGCCAGAGACACCATTGGTAAACAGTGTAAATGCAACAAAAAGCAAAGCGTGGGGTCTCCCAAACACATCACAAACTTATAAAAAGCTCTCAGCTTATCTTCTAAACCCCTCGAAATATCTGAGTGTGCCTCACACAGGTGAGTGGGCTTGACAAACCACCTGCAGAAAACAGACTCTTTCCTTTCTCCATGCACTCTTACAATCACTCCATATGTGTAGAACAACATTGTGTGTTAAGTGTGTCTCACACAGGTGAGAGGGTTAAACATGTGACGCGAGTGTAACGTCACACACTCCGCCCAGTGCGTGTTTACAGTGAAAAGCAATAGAGCAGTAGCGCATTGAGGAGGAAAACCACATTCTGTGTGAACGGCCCCTAAGTGTGCTTGTATATTGAGCCTTAAAGGAGCAGTTTACCTACAAATGGTGTAATTTACTCACGCTTTACTTGTTCAGGAGTTTCTTTATTCTGTTTGAACACAAAGAAGATATTTAGAAGAATGCTGGAAACTGTAACTGTTGACTTCCATAGTCTTTATTTATTTATATTTGGTTTTCAATTTTCTACTTTCACCAAACTATTCAGTTCAGCTTTATTTCTGTGGTGTTTTTACAATGTAGACTGTGTCAAAGCAGCTCAATATAGATGAGTATAGTGAACTGAAACAGGGTCAGTGTTCAGAGCTGAAGTTCAGTTGAGTGTGGTTTAATAATCACTGCTGAGAGTCCAAACACTGAAGAGTAAATCCATCATAATCTACAGATCACGAAGCATGCAAGCCAGTGGCGACAGCGGCGAGGAAAAAACTTCACCAACTGGCGAAAGCCAAGAAAAACCCTGGAGAGAAACCAGACTCAGATGACCATGTGTCCTCACGCCAAACATCATGTGCAGAGCTGCAGTCTAGGAGAAGCTGGACCTCAGTGAGACTCGTCTGCCCCTGGAGCATCACAGGACTCAGTCTCATGCTCTCCACTCCTCCATGACCACCACAGCAGCTGCTCAGGATACGGCCTGGTCCAGGATTATGGAATCCTTGGGATCATCTCGCCGCTGGTCTTGGATTGATCAGTGGTGCTGCATAATCTGAGGGTCTCGGGATGAGCATCCCCAGGTGTTAATAGAGAATTAAGAGAATAATTAGCGTAGCTGCTGTTCATATATAAACGAGATGCAGAAACCTGTGTGGAGCACATTCATGCGCTGTGTGATGCACTGAAATATCTTCTTTTGAGGAAGAAAGAAACTCTTAAAGGCTTAAAACCACTCGAGGGAGAGTAAACAGTGAGTGAATGTTCAGTTTTGGGTGAACTGTACCTTTAAATGTGGATGCATCTTCACCTGCCTCATCTTTCACAAAGCCGCCTTGTGTTTTCGGTACTCACAGGTCTTCATCTGCATTGTGTGTGTGTGTGTGTGTGTGTGTGTGGGCTCTGCTGTGTTCTCCAGAGCTCTTGATGTGCTTGACTGCTTCCCCTCTCCTTCACTCTTCACAGCTCTCTGTAGTTTCAGCAGCCGCTCTCGTGTTTTGTGCAGGTTTGGTCTGTTCTCAGCAGTGTGTGCTTGATATAACACAGATTACACACCATTAAACCAGCAGCGCACACTGGGATGAGTAGTGTACATGAGTTTGCCCTCACAGATCTCTCTTGTACATTCCTATATTCTCATGCAGTAATATATGTGTGCAGATATATTAGATTAACCAGAAGACAAAGACAAAACTGCTCAACTCATCTAAAAACACTGAAGATCACTAACAACACATCCACGGCCATCTCTGATGTGTGCAGAGACACAAACTACGTCAGCTTGTGTGACTCATCATCAGTGTTGTGTAAATGTGATCATGTAATCACACACACTACAGAGCCTCAGCAGGTCCACACACATCTCTGCGTTACTCCACTTGTTAAATAGTACAGATCAGCTCAGAGGATCAGAACTTATTAAATATTATAATTAATAAAACAAATAAAACCGGAGTGTTTACAGGTTGTTCAGAGTGTCTCTGCTATTGAGCTGCTGAGCTGAATCAGGTGTGTTTGGTTAAGGAGACATGGAAAATGTGCAGAGCTGGTGCTCCTCCATGAACATGGTTGAGAAACACTGGTTTAAACGTAGCCCTCTGGAAATAAGGATTGTAATATAACTTTAAATCCATGTCTCCCATGCCTGTCATACTCCTCCTATGAGCTGCGGCGTTGAGGATAGATCGTCGGCGTTCAGGCCTGACGGAGCCTCAGCAGATGATGTTGTTGCTAAATGTAAATGTGTCTGCAGTCGTGATGCTGTCGGTCACAACATTCCTCATTCCCCATCTGCCTCGGGAAGCCCCGTCAACACATCGCTGGTGAAATCGTGTCCTCGACACAGGCCTGAGATCAGTGTGGAGGGTTTTCTGGAGTAATCTGATGATTCATTCCTCTCCATCTGCCGTCTCAAGCACAGATCTGGATTTGCAGAGCGCCAAGAAGAACACTACCTGCCCAAAACACAACACCAGACACTAAGAACAACAATAACACTGGGTCGAGACGCCGGTACATGACTTTCCAGACCGTCATGGGGGATCTGAGAGTGTGGCAACAGTCTGAGGGTGTTTTTCATGACAGGCTCAACAGAACGCTCATGCACAAATGCTTTGCAGAAGTCCGTGTGTAAGTGATGAAATGGGCTGAACAGAGTCCTGATCTCAACCCTATTAAACTTCATTCTGTTTGTCACACAGAGATGGTGATCATTCCTGACTCTAAATCCAGGGTTCCCACTGTTCACAGAGTTTCTGGAATATCATGGACGTTTATGAGGTTTATTGCTGACATTTGAGGAATATTTATATTCATTCATTCATTTTCTTGTCAGCTTAGTCCCTTTATTAATCAGGGGTCACCACAGAGGAGTGAACCGCCAACTATTCCAGCATATGTTTTTACACAGTGGATGCCCTTCCAGCTGCAACCCATCACTGGAAAACACCCATGCAAAACAGATTTATTAAACAGATATATTTATTAAAAGAATATTTTAGTCACCAAACATCAGATAATACAGTTCAATTCAAGCTAAATATTACAACCTACAAAATTTCAACTACACTTTTTTATTTTTATTTTTTTTTGCTTCTCTTGATTTTTTTCATTTTTTAAATTTGTATTTAATATTTTTCTATAACATCTAAATTAGTGTGTACTTGTTTTTGGAACATTATCGTGAGTTCTCCAGATTTGGCTTCAGTTCTGGCTAATCTAATGTGTATGCACAAATATAACAGTGTAGAGCTTTCTATTGAAGATATTAATTTAAAAGAGAGATTGGTGAGGTGTGCTTTCACTGTGTGTGTGTGTGTGTGTGTGTGTGTGTGTGTGTGTGTGTGTGTGTGTGTGTGTGTGTGTGTGTGTGTGTGTGTGTGTTCGCTGCTTAAAAACTTGCTGGATAAGTTGGCGGTTCATTCCGCTGTGGCGACCCTGGATTAATAAAGGGACTAAGCCGACAAGAAAATGAATGAATGAATGAATGAGAGCAGCAGTCGCGCCACTCTTATGTAAAAAATATGATAATGAAATTCGGCTTTTTAGTCAGTAAAAATCCAGCAAAAACTGAGAATCTGACATATAGTAGGATCTTTCAGATAGATATATTGAAATTGTGACTTTATTCAAGGGGTCTTCATAATGTGTCCATTTATAATCATCACATGACATGAATGTGAATGAGAGTGTATGCATCCCAAAACAACAAAACTGTATCATAAATCTGTTATGAGCATGCATAATGTCGCCACTGGCCTGCTTGGTTTGGGACTTGTGGAGCTGCGCATGGATGGATTTGCTGTTCAGTGTTTGGACTTCCAGCAGTGAAGATTAAAACACACTGAACTGAACTGAACTGAAGTGAACTGAAGTGAACTGAAGTGAACTGAACTGAACTGAACTAAACTGAACTGAACTGAATTAAACTGAACTGAACTGAAGTGAACTGAACTGAATTAAACTGAACTGAACTGAATTAAACTGAACTGAACTGAATTAAACTGAACTGAACTGAACTGAACTGAACTGAATTAAACTGAACTGAAGTGAACTGAACTGAACTGAACTGAATTAAACTGAACTGAACTGAAGTGAACTGAACTGAACTGAATTAAACTGAACTGAACTGAATTAAACTGAACTGAACTGAATTAAACTGAACTGAACTGAAGTGAACTGAACTGAACTGAATTAAACTGAACTGAACTGAATTAAACTGAACTGAAGTGAACTGAACTGAATTAAACTGAACTGAACTGAATTAAACTGAACTGAAGTGAACTGAACTGAACTGAACTGAATTAAACTGAACTGAACTGAATTGAACTGAACTGAACTGAACTTGAGCTCTGAACACTGGACTGACACCGCTTCAGCTCTCTAGAACTCCTGTGTTCAGCTGCTGCCACACACTCTACTGTAGAAGCGCTGGAGGAACACAGAGGAACTGGACTGAAGTGAAGAAAATCCCACTCATGTGTCTTGCTGATTATAAAGTTTTAATGTCAGTCTTATGAACACCTCTTCAAGTAAAGTGTTACTGAATCATTTGAAAACCGTTTGTGACTCTCACACTGATGAAAGCGCTGATCCGAGACGTGTGTGATTTTGTTTGTTGAAGAATATAGAATGAAACGTTAAAATTGAAATGCGCGTGAACCACTTCTTCCATCATCTACAAGATCAAGCGTGAAGCAGCAGTGCAGAGCCTCCTCTAGAGCATCTTGTGAGGAAGGCGGTGTCCTCTGGAGTGATGTCTGCTTGTTTTGAGGACTAGTGAATGGAGTCGTCCCGGACGAGCCCCCACTTTACATTACGCGCAGTGTGTTTCTCTCCGCCATGCTGACCCTGGCACACACACACTCGGTCTGTGCTTCCGCCACACACACACACATAGAGGATGTGGTGTTTGCTTCTGCCTCATGAACACAGCGCTCGTATTCCTCCCGCATAATCAGAGGGTTTGTCTCGCAGAGAACGGCACATCTGTTTGCGGCGGCTAAAATAGATGCCATTCATGCATTCCTGTGACGACAGATTATGACTGCCTCCCACGCTACAAACTCACTGTCTTTCCCTCTCCCCATTCTGCTTCCTTTCCCATTCGCTAGAAAACAGACCCGTCCACTCTTCAGCTGACTTCTGCTGTTATTATTATTAATAGTAATACTGTTATTGTTCTTATTACAACCAAAACGTTTACCAATATACCGTCATTACGGCTCTAAATTCATTATTTAAAAAAATATTGACCTTTAAATGAGTTTAAAACAATAATTTGAAATAAAACAAATAAGACCTTCTCCAGAAGAACAAATATTACACAAATAAACACTGTGAACAACTCCTGAATGTGTTCAACATCATCTGGGAAATATTTAAAGAAGAAAAAAAATTCAAAGGCTGAGAAATAATTCTGTCTTCATCCTTATAAAGCACTGTGGTTATCTTTGAGTCAGCTTCAGATTGAGCTCTGACCTTCAGTTTATTGTATTATGAAGACATTCTGAAAGCGAAACCTTCCGTATTCATTGAGCGCAGCTGCAGAAAGGCTGTGTGTACTGATGATGTCACGCTGTAGAAACGCCTCCGCTGAGCAGCATCAACGCCTGCATCTGTCCCTCTGCCCGACTCTACTTTTACTGGATTATTAATATACTTATATAATAATGTACTGCAAAGAAGCTCACACAACACTCATTTCACAACTCTGAGAATGTCTGTGAGTGTGAGTGTGTGTGATCTGTTGTTGTGTTGTAGACGGTGGCCATTCTGGAGCAGCGACTGACTCTGACGGAGGACAAGCTGAAGGAGTGTTTGGAGCAACAGCATCAGGCCCTGACTGAACACTGATGGACAAATCCTCCATCTGCAGCCGGCGGTGTGTGTGTGTCCTGCTGAATCACTGGCTTTACTCACTGTGGTATAAACTGACTCTTCACTATAACGGTGCAGTTCACTATTCTTTACTGTCTTGCTGTGAAACTTTTATAATGTACACTGTGAGTATTCTTCACATAAATGTGGTTAAATCCACCCAGAAATTAAAATTCTGTCATTAATTACTCACCATCATGTCATTTATAAGTGAAAAAATCCTCTAGGATGTTTTGAATTTGTACTGCAATACCGAGTTTAACCACTAAGTGAAATTCTGCTGCTTTAATGGCACCTATTCTGCAATAATCACCTTTATTAAAGGGGTGTGTGTTTGTGTGTGTGTGTGTGTGTGTTTGTGTGTGTGTGTGTCCAGCAGGCTCTAAAACTCAACATGAGTTCTAATCAGACTTGATGTACACAGTCTGCAGAAACACTGTGATTGACATTCTCCCTTCGTACGTGTCATCAGAAGGGGAAAAGCCCCGCCCACTAGTGCCTATCTCTCCATCTCATTAGCATAAACAGCAGCCCTGAGTGAGAAGCAGCCGTCTGTCCATTAGCCATTAGTGTTTAATAAAGCTAATCCTGTTTTACATCATTATCTCTAGCTCCGCCCTCTTCTGAAAAGAGCACAATCTCATTTGCATTTAAAGCGACAGTCACCAAAACGCCACAGTTAGGATCAAAGCCTGAACGGGTCAGTTCCAGAGAGCTGGAGAACATTACCTGTGTGATTTTCTCAGCTCAAACTCACACACACACACACACACACACACACACACACACACACACTCTACAGACAGCAGAGGCACATTTACAGCATGGCTCTCCTTTAATATCACTCTTCTGCTGGAGAAACACTGTCTTTAAGTGTTAACAGCGGAACTGCAAGCTAATTTAAAAAGAGCTAGCACACAGTGTCAACAATATGAAGACAAGCATGAATTCAATCTGTTAGGCTAGAGTGTGTGCGTGTGTGTGTTTGTGTGCGTGTGTGTGTGTGTTTGTGTGTGTGTGTATGTGTGTGTGTGTGTGTGTGTGTGTGTGTGTGTGTGTGTGCGTGTGTGTGTGTGTGTAGATGATGATTATAGGCGGTGTTCATGTCTGCAGCAGTACAGCTCTTCATCTGCTGTGTGTTTCTGTGGGCTGAACTGGACGGCCGAGTGGAAAGCTCATCTCAGCTCTGCGTGGGCCGATCAGGAGCTCTGAGGAAACTCAAACCCCAGACTAACAGCAGGAGATGAAGCTGAGCTGCTGAAAACACACACACACACACACACACACACACACACACACACACAGCGGAACATCAAAAAATACATCAATAAAAGAAAAGAGCTGAACATTACTGCTGTCAATCATCTGAGGCAAGCCCCGCCCACTTCAGACCCACCTCTGTCCAATCAACAAAGCAGGAGACAGAACAAGCCCCGCCCAAAAACATTAAACATTCATTCATTCATCTTCCTTTCAGCTGAGTCCCTTTATTCATCAGGGGTCTCAACAGCGGAATGAACCGCCAACAATTCCAGCATCTGTTTTACACAGCGGACACCATTCCAGCTGCAACCCAGTTCTGGGAAACACCCATACACACTCATTCACACTCATACACTACGGCCAGTGTAGTTGATCAGTTCCCCTATAGCGCATGTGTTTGGACTGTGGGGGAAACCGGAGCACCCGGAGGAAACCCACACCAACACGGGGAGAACATGCAAACTCCACACAGAAATACCAACTGACCCAGCCGAGACTCAAACTAGAGACCTTCTTGCTGTGAGGCGAACGTGCTACCCACTGCACCACCGTGACACCCTATGCTGCTGTCCATCAGTAGTGTGTGTGTGTGTGTGTGTGTGTGTGTGTGTGTGTGTGTGTGTGTGTGTGTGTGTGTGTGTGTGTGTGTGTGTGTGTGTGTGTGTGTGTGTATGTGTGTGTGTGTGTGTGTGTGTGTGTGTGTGTGTGTGTGTGTGTTCCCAGTCAGATTAATAGGCACAGCTCCTCGTTCTGCTCTTGACGGTGTGTGAAGAGGG